GATTTACTTCACAGACGAGGTCTCTGGCTCAAATTTAGGATGGCCCAGCTGGGCCAGGGAACTACCTAAATTGATTCGTTTTTGCCAGTAAGCTCCAATTACATCATAAGTACTACAGAAGAAGGGTTTTTTTTATGTCTACTTACGGTTGTAATCTTCATTTTGATAGTTTCTACGATTACATGGATTATACCTATTTACACAAATACTCCGACAATTTCCACTCATTAAGACATAGAGTCCACTAAGCATATCTTGAGTTAGTGCGGAAATGAGATCTCCAGTAGTTGGAGACAAAAGATTCATATTATAAAACATAAGTAAACATGCCTCTGATTGAGCCTCCGCAGATAAAAGGCCTGACAAAGCGGGAGGTGTAGCTGCAATAGCACCAGTTTTTATATGTCTTTCCAGTAGTTGGAGACAAAAGATTCATATTATAAAACATAAATAAACATGCCTCTGATTGAGCCTTCCCAGATAAAAGGCACATGAACAGCCATTTGATCCTCGTCAAAGTCTGCATCGAAGTCTTTACAAACTAATGGATGAAAACAAATAAAGTAAATGATGTAAAGAATGAAACTTGTTGCGCAAGTTACGGATTTCTAAAATAAAAACTAAAATTAAATTGCATGGAAATTTAAATGACGTAAAGTAAATTGCGTGAATTAAAGTGTGATAAAGTAAATGCAAGAAATGTAAATGTAAAACGGTAAATTAAAATAAATAAAGAAAAGACTAGAATGAAAATTTGCACGTAAAGTTTCATTATAATTCATAAATATTTGCATGATTTACTTTTAAAAATAAGTGTTTTGGCTTTTGAGATGGTAACTGACCGATCATAATGGATTTTTAATCCAACATAATGTCACGTTTGTAAGGTGTTCTCTAAAAGTAAAACCAAGATTAAAGTTAACGATAAATGGCAATTAAAGAAATGAAGCAGAACTTACCAACACAAATAATATCATAAATATTAGTTGAAGAACAAAAGCTAAAAGTTGAAATTAAAGTACATAAAACTAGAGAGAGAAAGGAGAAAGTGTTTTTGTTTAAGTTACAAATTATGTGACTAAAAATGATATCCTTTAACCATAAGGGTGGTGCCTGATTGGTTTGAGTTTGACTTCATAGGTCAAAAGTACCAGGAGGTCCTAGGTTTATCCAATGAGGAAAAAAATCTCCTTGTGGCCACGGAGGTTCAAATGCGGTGACTTCAGACTATCTGCAAAGCAGGTGGTTGTCCTGGAATTAGTCGGCTCGCATAGCGGGCTGGATATCCAGGTTAATAAAAAAAATGATATCATTTCCAAATTCCGAATGAGTCTAAGCCTTCTATACACAGCCCCTTAGGAAGCTTAGGACCCAAGTGTGGTCCACAAAGCCCAAGAGAAGAAGCCCAAATTTAAAAAAATGGGTCTCAAAATCCAACCCAAAAAGTAGCTCCAAACCCACTGCACAATTTTACAGCATCATGCTGCACTGTTTTTTTAAAGTCCTGTAGAATTTCAAAATATTTTGTCATAAGTGAAATTTTTGGCCAATTAAGCATATTATACATCATATATATATATATATATATATATATATATAAAACTCCATAAATATAGAAACATAAAAGAAGAGATTAAAAAGACTCAACTGGGGAAGTAAAATTAAACAGTGCAAAGTGATGTAAATAGGGTTAATAATTAACACCTATCAACCGTTGACCATTGTCGACCACCATCAATCTGAACCACTGTCGACCACCGTCGACCACCACTGATCTAACCTACTGTCGACCGTTGTCAACCACCACCGATCTAACCTACTGTCGACCACCGTCGACCACCACTGATCTAACCTACTGTCGACCGTTGTCAACCACYACCAATTTGAACCACCTGCTGATGTAACACCCGTATTTTTATAATTTCGTTCGAATTCATAATTGTTTGAGTAATCGTAGAATTTTGTATGAAATTGTGAATAATTGGTGTTTTAATGTTAATTCTGAGGCCTTAGTATGTTAAGAGTGGTTTGAGAATCAAAATATGGAGGAAAAAGGAGGAAATAGCTCCCCACGACTTCCTACGTGGCTAAAGCCACGAGGAAAGTCGCCCATGTTTCTGTTTGGGTCGAGCAAGTAGAACATATTAAGATTTTGAAGCCTTAAGCTGAGGCTACCCACGGGGGACCCTTAGGCCGCCTGAAGCGAGTCAACCTGGTTGTTAAGGCGTGGAGGAGAAATCGTCTTGCGACGTGTGTGTATGCTAGGTGAGAGGTTCGGGCGACTTAGTCTGTTGCCCTATACTGCCTCATAAGCCGCCCAACATGGTTGAGGTCTTACGCAGGTTATCCAGATGCCATTCCTCACTCTCGTTCTCATCACTCGTCCTCACCTCTTCTCCTCTACCTCTCGCCTCTACCTTGAACCTCATTGTTCTGCTAGGTCCGGTTTTAAGGCTTTTGGAAGTCTTAACTTGGTGATTTGAGATTCCAAAGGGTATAAGGCAAGATCTAAATTTTCATCTTTTAACCTAGGGTTTTTGGTCTATTTGCACCTACAACCTCTAATTTATTTCTTGTGCTGCATTTATTAGATTTAGAAGTAAATTAAAGTATTCTTGAAGCTTCACATCTTAGATTGGGAGTCTTTTTTCAAGATCTCAAGTTTTCATCAAAGAAAATTCCAGTTTTGGGGTAAAACCTAGATTTAGCATAAATCTAACAAGATTTGTTATAATTGTTTTGCAAAACTATATACATGTCAAAAAATCTTTATTTTGAGGTTTGAACACATTTTTATTAGCTTGGTTCATATTTGATGAATTTAACGAATGAATATATACGTCTTGAGCATAATTGGGTTATGAAAGGGGGGTTTATTGGGTATTCGGATGATGTGAGACAAAGTATTACTTTAACTATTTTAACTGTTAAGAAATGTATTTTGAGTTAAAAATGACTTATTTGGTGTTATTGTTCAAGTCCAAGTGTTTGTCAATTTGATTATGGGGATTCTACCCAACTTGTAAACTTTTGGTGATGGCATATTAGCCCTTTTTCGTCAAAAGTGTGTAAATAATTGAGAAACACCTCTCTTGGCTTGGTGGACATTTTGTAAATACATCCTTATGGTTTTAGGCCTTTTGGCTATTATACTTCAATGACGTGTTAGTTATGGACCTATTTATGCTGTAGGTGCCATATGATTGTTAAAAGTGGGAAAATATGTCTTTTTGGCTTATGAGATTTACATTGGCTATGCTAAAATAGTCAAGAGGCCTTTTGGCCTGATTTTAGTTCAAAACGAGATTTGGGACATTTTTCGGTTTTAAGAGCTCAACATGAAGTTTTGGAATATGTTAATTAAAAAGTAGCCTGTAGCTTAAATAAGAAGAATTATATCTGTAAAGATGACATAAAGTTATAGATTGAATATGGATATTATCCCTTTTTCACTCCACTAAGTATCCAATTATTTATAGCTCTCAATTTCAACGAAAGAAAGCAAGGTATTCTCTTTTGAGTGCAACTCACAAGACCAAATAGTTATATGGGAAATTAATGTAAATAGTCTTTTTGATCGACTAAATTTTAAATACTAGGTAAAATTTAACACTATCACTTACATACTAGGTAGAATTTTAGTTCACCAAAACGACATCGTATGCAACAGTAAGTGTTTACCATGGTAAGAGTCGTTTCCCTCACTTACCGGGTAAGACTCTCGGTTTTTATCTCCTTCTTACTGGGTAAGATTCTTGGTTCTTACCATATTCATCTCGTAAGGTAATGTGACTTAGTAAAGTGCTTACCCAATGAACTTTAATATTTTAAGTGATTAAGGAGCCGTTTACTAAACGCTTACTCGGTAAGTGCTTACTGGATAATATTTCTTACCGGATGAACATGACAATGATCAAGAATCTTACCCGGTAAAAGCAACGATAAGATAAAGAGTGTTACTCGGTAAGTGAAGATCACGATTCTTACTCGGGTAAGCGCTTATCGGGTAAATTGTTATATATGATACCATTTTTATATATTACAATCTTACACAGTAAAATAAATTAGAGTATTGACTTTTAATGGTAAGCGGCTTACCGATAAAGCATTTAGGTAAACGGCCCCTAAGTCTCTGAACATTTTTTTGAACCAATTCCTAACACTTATCAAACGAAAGTAATATATGTATATGTATATATATATATATATATATATATATATATATATATATATATAGGTTGGTTATTATACAACCATTGACATTTGTGCAACCAATACAATCTAATCTCAACCGTCTATTTCATTTGATTAATATATGATCTCATAGAAGTTTTGATTGTTTTATAATATAAAGTATTGATCATAATTAATGAATCATATTTATCTTGCATAAATATTCAAATCATAATAAATGAGCTCTCATTATTTTCATAAATATCTCAATTTATTGGGTTGCATTGGTTGTACAAATACGACGGGTTGTATTTGAAACAATCTCTCTCTCTCTATATCAGTAACAAAGTACAATAAACTATAAAAAATAATTAAATACCATGTTCATTATCAATTATTTATTTCTTAGATTCAATGGAAAAATGGGAAACAGAAGTTAATAAATGTTTTTATATTCAAATGACAATGAGATGATGATAACAAACATATGTGATTATCATTTAAACTTAAAAAATAAATGAAAGTAAATACAGATGTAATTTTATTTTATTAATTTGTTGCACTTTTCTACTTCTACACTGATTTATTAATAAAATGAAAAAATAATAAATTTATTCATTCAAAAATTGTTCAAACTTAATCACTCAAGGCATTTGGAAATTTTCTTTTTTTAACAAGTTTAAAGTATCGAATTCGTATGTTGCAGTCGCTGAAAAGGCGCGTGTGGAGGGTTGATGGTCTGCCTCTGCCTTAAGTCAACAAGAGTATATCCAAGCCATCATATGTCTGGATCATCACTATACCCATTGCTATCACTTGGCGCTCTATGAAACCCTAACCTTTCCCTCTTGGAGCAATCAACTTCACGCTTCGACCTATGGATGCAGATGCGCAAGGCCAGCAAAATCCATTTTCTCTTAAGCAGCCTTCTTCGTCGACCTGTACTTACTTCAGAGAACAGGCCATTCGAGGTTTGTGATCACTACTGATTTTGTTTCTTTCATTTATCTGGAGAATAGAGATGAGTTGTTTGATTTTTAAGCCTTAAGAATGCTGGATATGTAAGTGACATTCGCATGTTAAGGTTGATTTTTTAGAGATCGAAGGTCTGATTCTTTTGATATTTTTGAGTTGCAGTAGGATCTCAGAGCGGAAATTTTGGTGGTGGAGGCCATGTAGGACTGGGGGTATTTGGAGGACCTTCGGAGATGAGGGAGGCGATCCAACGGGAGCGTGAGAAGGAGAGGATTAGAGCGGAGATCATTGCAGAGGAGATGGCACGTACGCGCATTCTGGAAGCAGAAGTGCGGAAAGAACTGATGATGGAGCGGGAGATGATGGCTATGAGGAGCGGCAGAGGATTCTCCTCGCCCTTTATGTCACTATCAATGCAGCCGAACCACAATAATATCGAGCGGAGAATTTTGCATCAGCAACCCATTGGACTGGAAGGGAGAATTGTGATGTCTCTTGAGGAGAAGTATCCCCATGGCGGCAATCGCCTTGCGTTTAGGGGTTTTGAGGTTGCTCCATTTCAGCGGCTTCGCGACTCACCTAAGATTGAAAGGATTCCTACGCCTCTCCCTGAGGATACCAAAAAGGAAGTTATCCTTCTGGTTAGTATCTGTCTTCTGTGTGTACATTCATGTATCATACATTCAGAAGTTGTTTTCTTGCATTTTATCCACAGTTTCTGGAGTCATTTCTGTATATTTCATTTTTTTGCCTCATACTTGAGCCCGCATCCTGTCTTAATCCCCTTGTGTGGGGGAAATCGCTGCCTGATGTGAATTGCATTGCATACTGCCATACTGGATAAATAGGTATTACAAAAGTAGTTTACCCTACATCAAATACCAAATTTGTGTTCATTGAGGGTGTCTGTTCACCAGATTTGAACAATGGTTTTCCTGTCTTGCATGTTCTCAATCTAGTTTGCATACACTGTGATTCCTATTTTGGCCTATTCTTAAACCCATAATCTTATTATTTATTTTAATAGTGTAGTAGTACTGGTTGGTGATGATAGTGAACTTCACTTACTCGGGCAAGGGTTGCGATAGAAACTTCCCCTTAGGAGGGTGGTGAATTGAAGCCTGGAATCACTCACACAGAAAGAAGCGTTTTTGGAACTATCCCAAGAGTTATCCCGAGGATCGACTCTGACGATCAAAATTAATGAAAGGTTATAGATAAAATAGAGGGTTACAAGAAGCCTAGCTTGTGTCCAAGATCAAAATCTAGATAGGTGAAGGCCTTTGGGCCTATATTTATAGTATGATGGTAATAAATGCAATAGGACAAAACATGGAAAAAGCATGGTGGCAGTGTGGTCCTGCGCACAGTTGATCGGACGTTAGGTTGTAGAGCTGTGTAGTTTTGGCTACATATGTGATATGGGGTGTGTAGTTTAGGGTACATCTGTGATATGGGGTGTGTCCTTTCGGACTCTGCATACTAAATGGAGTTGTCAGTCTTAACATTACTTGGTAAAAAGATTAGCTTAAGGCTATTTCATTGTTTATAATTCTGATATAACCACTTATTACTATTACTTCAAGTTTAAGGTAGCACTTGAGTCCATTTCAACCCTTTTGAAAAAAGCAATTACAATCATTTGTTGTGATACATTATTCAGTAGATTGATATTTCCATATTAGACATGTCAAAATATGGTGTATGTTGTCATGATCTCGTAATAAAATTGTTTCTATATTGACATCCTGTTGTCAAAGGGTATTCTAAAAGCTAATAAGGTGAACGAAGAAGATGGTTCTGCCTTAGTTCTCTTAGGAGGAAAGGAGTGACTATCGGGTAATTTCATAAAGTGTTCAAGTACTTTGTATAACACCCTAAAATCTGGAAAAGAACTAATTTAATTTTTTTTATAATGCATCAATTGAAAAATAAATTCATTTTTAATGGATCACTCGAATTACCTAAAATGGAAATTTAAGGATTTACATCAAAAAATTACAAACCAAACATTTTACTAGGTGTAGGATACTCATGGTTGTTACTAAAATCCAATACTAGTATTGATCTCCAAAGTACGGAAGACGTCCTAAAAAGCTAAAACCTTCTCGAGCCTCTAACTAGCACTCAACTCTTCACAAGTGCTGCTAGTACCAAACCCCATAAGGATCTGATGCACATGCTGACAGAAAAAGTGTTATGCTTAAAGTCTAGTAAGTTCAAGTAGTTTATACTTTAAACACAAAACAATATCACTGCACGAACACTCTTTAAATGACGATTTTCCTAGGTAGAAACATGGATGCAAAATACACGACACCTTTTGAAATAATCTTTTATTTAAATACTCCAAAAATGCAAATACATCTTTCAATGACAGGGGAGACCTTTTTCCATGAATGTGACGGAACACAAAAGTAGGCCACGTATCAAAGTTATTGAACTACACCTAAGATTTCATGACTTTAGTACTCACTATATCAAGTGTCACCTCGAATCCTCAATACCTTTATCGTCTATCCGTTAGTTTCACCTCAAGGCCACCATATCTTTAGTGCACACTTCTTCGAGTTCACCTTAAGAATACCGATTCTTAGTGCCCATTCATTCTCTAGTTGAGTTCCACCTCCAGGTTCCCATTCGAATTTTAGTGTCTACTTACTATCATTTAAGATGGGAACCTCAAACTTCCTACTTGATGACACAAAACAATTAACCCATGCATAAGGGTTAAATCATCAAAACCACAAATTTGGCAAATTATAGCATGGCGGATTAAACACACCCAACGACATGTATACTCCCAGAAATTATGCAATTATAAGCATCTAATTCCACCAAATGTGTGGTCAAATTCCTTTGACGGATAGACAATAAAGGAGATGGAGATTCTAATTCTCTTTCATTCCAATTCCTACCAACCAAACGTGTGGTCAAATTCCTTTGACGGATTCCAATTCCACCAAATTCCATTCTGTGAACCAAACGCCTCCTTAGGGTTCAGCCTTCTGCTGCACATGTCAATTACGTGTGAATGCCATGGATGTTGAAAAGTGGTTTTCTGATTTGCTTTTTTTTATCCACATCCTGTGCATGAAGGAAATCAATGAGGTGGTCAAGGACATCTGTAACAGATCGGGCTAAGAGGTTAAGACCTATCAAGCTTGGCAATAGTCTGATGTGGGCTGCCATAAAAACAGCAAATATTTATTGGAGACATCTCTTTGGACTGAAGAAAAATGCTTGCAGATCTATAGAAGACTAAAACCGGATGAGTAGAACACGTGTGTGTGTGTGTATGGAAAAGTGTGTTTCTTTCATAATTTTTTGTTTTTTGGGTGGTTTTTTTTGGGGGGGAGGGATCGTAAATTCATTAGTTTTTAGTTATTGTTTCATCATTTTGGTGCATTTACTACTAGTAAATGTTGCCAAACGTTGTCATTGGCAAGTTCAAAGTCAGACTTGAAGATCCTAAGTAGCCCATGTTTGTGGAGATCATTTGTCAAGAACAGCGAGACCACAATGACTTGTGGCAGCACTGTGTCCAGGGTTCTACCAATTTTCATTTATCAGGGTTTGTTCACCCTCATATGATGGTTTTTGATCTGCTGCTTGGAGGTGTGGACAACCACCTGCAAGTGCACTTAGGTGGAGTATGTATTCTTGATGATTTGTCACGATAATTGCATACTACCACTTATCATTTGCCGGTGATTTTGATAATTTTATCCCTCAAAACTTTGGGATGTAACTTGTGGATGATGATTTGTCATTCTGGAACTGCTATCAAATGCCTATTGTTAGGCCTGACCTCATATTCATCCAGTTCCTTATGTAGATAATGCTATTCATAGGTTATGTTTATAATCGAGCTTCACTATGTAGCTACTTGTACCCAGACATTAAGAACTACCTTTACACTTTGTACTTTCAGTTATCAATAAGATTTAAGTGAGAATGTAGAGGATTTCATGGAAAGTGATTGAGGGATGGTATGCAAAAACGATGCCTTGTTATATTTAGATCTGGTCATGTTGGGATCTAAGATTGTCAAGTGTGTTTCTGGATATCATAGTTATTACGAGCTTTATGAATAGAATAGTCAAGTTTTCATCTAAATCTTGTTCTAAATAAGTGTAGGTTCTAATCCTAATTTCATAATACATGCCACCATCATTTAGTCTAAATCGTGTAGTTACTGTGGATGGGGGTTAGAGAGGTAGAGGGCGGGTTAGGGGAGGGTTAGAGGGCCGACAACAATGAGTTATCATAGTCCTAGGATAGGTAGAGGGGTCTCKTTGGGGGTAGTCAGAAATTGAATCAGGGGCGGGTCTTTTGGCTTGCTTACTTGTCCTATTGTTTTACCATACTTTGTCTTTTGGCCATTTAGTTGTTTTACCATATCATAGTTATTATGAGCTTTATGAATAGAATAGTCAAGTTTTCAT